TAACAATCCAGATGCCTCTTAACTGTCGCCAACGTGCCCGCCTCCTCCACCTCTTCTGGCAGTGCATTCCAAGCTCCTGCCACTCTGTGGAAAAGCTTCCTTTGCACATCTCCCTTAAACTTTCCCCATCTCACCATGAACCTGAGCCCCCTTGCAATTGAAACTTCAACCCTGGGGGGAGAAAGCATCTGACTATCCAGCCTATCTATGTCTCCCATAATTTTGTAGACCTGTATCAGGTCTTCTCCCAACCAATGTCTTTCCAGTGAAAATAATCCTTGTCTTTTTAAACCTTTCCTCCTAGCCAGTGCCCTCGAGACCGGTCAACATCCTGGTGAACCTTCTCTGCACAGCTTCCACGTCTTTCTGGTAGTGTGACGAACAAAACTGCGCACAATTCTCCCAATTCGGCCTAACAAGGAATTTATGGAGCTGCCAACTCTTGTTCTCAATGCCCCGGTGATGAAGGCAAACATGCCATACGCCGCCTTAATCACCTTGGCCACCTAAATTTCTGCTTTTAGGGAACAGTAGACCTGCACATCCAGATCAGTCCGTATGTTAATATTCCTAAGGGTTCTTCCATTTACAGTATAATTCACACCTAAATTTGATCCTCCAAAATGCATTGTCTGGATTAAACTCCATCTGCTATTTCTGTGCCCAAGTCACCAATCTAACTATATCCTGTTGTATTCTTTCACAATTGTTGGCATCATCAGCAACTCCACCAATCTTTGTGTCATCTGCAAACTTACTAATCAGACCACCCACCTTTTCCTCCAGATCACTTTTTTTTTTTTTTTATATTTACTACAAACAACAGAGGACTTGACACTGTTCCCTGTGGAACACCACTAGTTATTGGTCTCCATTCCAAACACCCCCTTCCACCATTACCTTCTGTCTTCTATGACCAAGCCAGTTTTGTATCCAGCCCACACCAAATCCCACGTGATTTTAGTTTTTGCACCAATCTGCCATGAGGGACTTTATCAACTGCCTTACTAAAGTCATATAACCTACATTCACAGCCTTTCCCTCATCAATTGTCTTTGTTACCTCTTCAAAATATTCAGTCAGATTGGTAAGACATGATCTTCCCCACACAAAACAAGGCTGTCTGTTACTAACTTGTCCGTTTTCTTCCAAATGTGTATATATCTTGTCCCTCAGTATCTTCCCTCAGAGCGTCTCCTCCACAGACGTCAGGTTCACCAGCCTATAATTTTCTTGGGCATATTGGAATGGTAGAATTGGGCATATTTAGTTTTCTACCAATCCAGTTTGAAATGTGAAGATTATTTAACAAAATTTCTTAACTTGTCAAATCATTATAATCCACTGGCTCTTCAGCTGCACAGTAGAAACAGAAACCTGAGAGAGGTGTGTTTTCCTATCTCAATCTGCTGAATCATTACAAGATGGATGTAAATGGTGAAGGGTGTTTCCTCCCCTCCAATCATTCAACAAGGGACCAAAAGTACTGTTGCATGATTGTGTACAGTAGTTTCTGAAATTATTCAGTTTTTGCTTCTGTTGCCCGATTTGACATTCTTTCTTATTTTACATGTTGACCAGGAACATTCTCTCCTTTTGCTAGTCATAACTTTGCCTTTTGGTTATTTGAAACTATATTCTCTTGTCCAATTTTCTTGGATGTGTTTGGCAGTTCCTTCCATATAGGCACCATACTCTGTGATAACCTTGCCCCTCGGGTCCCTTTTTAAATCTTTTCCCTTTCACTTTAAAACTACGCCCTCTAGTTTTAAGTTCATCCACTCTACGGAAGAAACCTTTTTGCTATTCACCTTATCTATGCCCCTCATGATTTTATAAACGTCTGTCAGGTCACCACTCAACTTAATAGGTTCTTGGGAGAAAGTCTCAGCCTATCTAGCCTCTCCTTGTATTTGAAACAATCTAGTCATGATAACATCTTTGTAAATCTGTTCTGCACCCTTTCTACTTTGAGTATCCTTCCTACAGCAGGGTGACCAGAACTGTACACCAGTACTCCAAAAGTGGCCTTGCCAGTGTCCTGTACAGCCACAACCTGACATCCCAACTCCTATACTCAATGCTGTGACCAATCAAAGAAAATGTGCAAAACCCCTTCACCATACTGTCTACCTGTTTCACCACTTTCAAGGAGCTATGTATCTGAACGCCTGCGTCTCTGTTCGATGACACTCCCTAGGGCACTACCATTAACTGTGCCAGGCCTGTCCTGGTTTATCTTGGCAAAATGAAACACCTTGCATTTATCTAAATTAATCTCCCATCTATCGCTCCTCAGCCCATAGGCCCAGCTGATCAAGATCCTATTGTACTCTTAGACAACCTTCTTCACTATCCACCATACCACCAATTGTATATAAATGATTTAGATCAGAATAGTGGAAGCGTGGTTAATAAGTTTGCAGATGACACCAAAATTTGACAAGGTTCCACGTTGTAGACTGGTCAGTAAGGTTACATCGCATGGGATCTAGGGACAGCTAGCTAACTGGATACCAAATTGGCTTTACAGCAAGAAACAGAGGGTGGTGGTAGAAGGCTGTTTTTCATGCTGGAGGACTGTCGCCAACAGTGTTCTGCAGGGATCAACGCTGGGTCCACTGTTGTCCCTTTACCTCTGAACAGCCTTCCCCAGTCAACTTTTGAACGTTACATAGATACATAGAATCTCTATAATGTGGAAGCAGGCCATTCAACCCATCGTGTCCACGCCAACCCTCCGAAGAGCATTCTACCCAAACCCACCCTCCCACACTATCCCTGTAACCCTGAATTTCCCATGCCTGCACAATCTTGGGCACTGTGGGCAATTTAGCATTAGCAGTCTACCTAACCTGCACATCTTTGGACTGTGGGAGGAAACTGGAGCACCCAGAAGAAACCCACGCAGACACCGGGAGAATGTGCAAACACTACACAGTTGCCCAAGGTTGGAATCAAGCACAATTTCTGGCACTCTGGCAGCGCTAACTACTAAGCCACCGTGCTGCCCTATGTTTCTGTCTAATGCCATCAAAATTGGCCAATCTCCAATTTAGAACTTTAACTTTTTTCCCAAGTCCTATCCTTTCATAACTATCTTAGAACTAAGAGTTATGATCACCAGTCCCAAAGTGCATCCCCGCTAACACCTTAGTCACTTGCTCGGCATTATTTCCCAAGAGAAGGTAGGACCATTGACATATTGATAAAGAAAATGTTCTTGAACACATTTTGACAAGTTCTTCTCTACCCAAGTCCTTAACACTACTGCAGTCCCGGTCTATGTTTGGAAAGTCAAAATCCCTTACAGTTACAACCCTATTATTCTTGCATACATATTTGCTCTTCAGTTTCCCACTACCATTAGTGGTAGATGCAGGTACAGTTGCAACATTTAAAAGATGTTTGGACAGCGACATGAATAAGAAAGGTTGAGGGATTAGGGCAAATGCAGTCAAGGAAACTAGTTTAGTTTGGGAAACCTAGTTGGAAGTGACGAGTAGGACTGAAAGGTCTCTTTCTGTGCCGTCTGACTCTATGAATAATATTATTCATATTCGTCTTCTATACCGGAGATTCCCTGTCCTTTAGTCTTCAGAGACTGGCCAAGTTGTAATGTCATTACTCAAAATTATGTGCCCTGACATGAGGTGTCATTTTATATGCTTCTCTGCGTCACTCTAGCATTTGGTCAGACTGGTTAAATGAGTAATGCTTAAAAAAAGTCCACTGTTCTCCGATTTAAATTGTTGTCTCTAGCTGGCATTGTCAAAAGATAGGTCCGGTTTACTTTGGTCTTCTGAGTTGAAGTTGCAGATGCAAATTTAGAATTGTTAGGTATTCAGTGTGTTAGTAGGAGCCTCCAATCTCTGGATATCTCCTTTTTAAGTGTTAACAGTTCTTGTTTTTCAGTTATTTTATCTGATAGGATTTTACCTCTTTTATGCTAATTCCTTCAAACTTGGATTCAGGGCTTTACATGCAGAATTTTTGGACATTTCATCTTCCCCTAGCTGTAAACCATGCTAGTTTGTGCATACATTAGCCAGATCGCAAGAAAGACCAAATTAATTGTTTGTGTTGAAGAGCTGGATATACATTGAATTCTGGAATTTTGTTTTTTACCTTCAGTACATTGGAGGAACGTAAATGTTGAACTTATCTGTAAGGAGGGAGTTAGTTTGATGTGGTTATGCAGTGGAGATGGATGGTTGGATCAATTTTGAGTATGGAAATAGAATGTAGAATCTTATGGAATCAGTGTTCCTATTGCCCCTAGGTATAGAGGTAGTAAAAACAAGTAGATTTGTGCCTGGCACCTTGGCACATGTGCTGATGATGGGCGTAAATTGAAGCATGAAATTGGCAACTTGCTGTTCAAAAAGTGATTACCAGATGTCCTGATTGAAAATTGAAGGTGACTGCGTTGAATAGAGGAAAGTGTGTCTAATTGGGGAAAGATATAATATGTTCTGCAACTTGCTGATGCACTTCCTTAGCAAGTTCATTAAAGTTGCTGACTTGTTGAATGAAAAGTGGTAAAGTAGCACATCACTTTTCAAAATGACAGAAAATTGATGCTACCAAGTATAGTCTACTGAAATAAAATTGAGATGTTTTAGTATAGGTTGAAATGTAATCCTTGATTCAGGTTGATTTCTTAGTTTGTAAGTAGATACTGTTTACAAGCCTGATATTGAACAGTGATTATTAAGTGAATTGTGTAGGCTAATTAATTTTTAAGTATTACATTAGCTACAATACATTGTATTTTAATCCCAAAGCTGGAAAAGTTCAATTGTGCAGTTTTTTTGGTTCTTGTATATTTGTTTTGGATCATGAAACTGCTGTTTCTCCTAATTTTACTTTATTTTAAAAAAAACAAGTCATTTGCATAGATATTACAGGTAAATCTCAAGTTAGGTGATATACAATTGAATTTAAGTAGAAATACTGGTGTTTCATAAGAGCTGTTCATTGCATTTTAATTCTTGCAGGTTATGACATGTCTACATTTATTAGAAGATACAGCAGATACTTAAATGAAAAGGCATATTCCTATAGGCAGATGGCATTTGATTTTGCAAGAGTAAAGAAAGGGTAAGTTTCAGTTTTTTGAACCTCAATTGTGCAGGTAAATTATTGTATGGTGCACTATTAAAAAGTGTGAACTGTTTTGAAGTTTTTGTAATACAGTTGGGTTTGTTGTTTCTCAGTCTTTTAATTGTCGACTTTGTGAAGATAGTTTGCAACAGCTAAACACTTGGTTAGAATATTTAACTGTAATACCATGCCCAGTGTTAATTGAAACCAGGCTTGTTTCTGTTGACTTTTAACCTAGACTGGACAAATAGTATATGATATGCGATAATATCTTGATGAGCCTTGTAATTTAAGGGGGTGGTGATAGCCCAGTGGTATTATCATTCGACTGCCTAGGTGTCTGAATTAACAATGTTCTGAGGACCCAGATTTAAGTCCTGCCATGGCAGGTATTGAATTCAAGCTCTACTTAAAAGAAAAACTGGAATTACAAGTCTGATAAATACCATGAAACCATTCAGATTGTTGGTCAATCAGATGGGTTTTTCCAATGTCCCTTTTAGGGAAGGAAGCTCTTGTCTTTACCTGGTATGGCCTACGTGTGACTCTAGACCCACAGCAATGTGGTTGACTCTGGGTAATTGGGAGCAGGCGATAAATGCTGGTTGACCCAGCAATGCCCACATCCTTTTCAATGAATAAAAAACAATGGCATATAATGGGTCTGTAGTGCAGGTCTCATGAAAGGAAGCTAGTTGTCTCCGTTACAATATTTGTAGTAAGAGATTCGCACAAATTAATTACATGATGCTTATGAAGTCCAATTCTAAATTCACATTATACTTTCATTCATTATGAGGAATGGATTATGCTGTCAAGTCTGATTGTCATGAGCTGTTTTCTAATATTTTTCAACAGTTCTTAATTCATTTTTGTACGTTGTACAAATGTGCTACTTTACTAACAGGCTGCAAGCAAGTTGTGGATCGCTTTTCTCAATAGTATTTTTATTTAATTACTTTCTTCTGTCATTCATTAGGACTAGCATTTGTTGAGACATGTAATGAAAGTTGTAACGAGTTAAAACCTATGCATTGGATCACAAATTTTTGATAAACTTATCATTTAACATAATTAGGTTTATCTTAAGATCTTGTGCCTTGACAGTGGTAGCCTAAGTTAATTTTGGTTGTAATTACTCCAACACTGAAAGAAGATCAGCCACGGTCTTGAAGTATCTTCATTTGGGCTTAGATTTGGGTTTTCCAGCAAATGTTGCTTTAAGTAAAAGAAATTAATTTTGGGATTCCAGGAGTACATTAAATAGTAGTAGAAAATTGTTATAATTGACTTTGCATTTATAAATGAGGAGCAGTTTCATACTTAGTTGCAGGGAGCAAAACTTGCTAATTTCCTACCTGTCCTTAAGGCCCATGAAAATGGTAATACAGCAGAAGATTCACCAAGCCACAAACATTCTTCTGGATCTTCAAATGTAGTTTTGTTAAGCAATTTCAAAATGTTTGTTTTATAAAGTTGTCTGGCTGGATTTCTGGTTGTGTTAGCACATGGTTGCTTGAAGTCAGAATTAACATTTGCACTTTGGAAGGCTATGCCACATGTAATGGTCCCGGCGAACGGTACTACAAGTAAGTTCAGACCCTAGAATGAAACCTGGCTAGATAGATCACATGTTTAATTTTCCGCCCTTCCGCCCTTCCCCACTTTTATGCAAAATACCAAAGTTTCAGCCTGTTTACGACATTGTCCATTATAGGCACTCAAGTCTAGAAAAATTATACTTGCATCTCAATTCTTTTAAATTTTTGTTTCACTTTCCTTTAGTTTCTTTTTCTTGCTGTAACAGTTAATCTGAGTTTGATGGCATGAATGTTTCACAATTCTGGCCTAAGCATTTGTCAGATTTGACAACATGAAGGTTTCCACCCTAAATTCTCCTAGCTTGGAAGTTTTAGAAACCAGTAAAACACTGCTTCTATAATATCTGACTTTTTTACTGAACTGGAAAATATCTTTGCAAAAAGACTTTTTTCCCTTTTTAACTAAATTCCTTTGAACTGAAGTAAAAAGAAAACTAATGACTTTGTTCCATTTATTCTGTTAATGACAAATTCAAAACTACAAACAACTTATTCCATTAACACCCCAGGAGTTTAACTGGCACTTGAATGCAGTCATATGTCAGGTGTTTTGCAGATGACTTTCTGACCTTTTTAAAAACATACCTTCACAGCACTAGCTAATGTTCATTTCTCTCTATTTTGAAATCCAGACTGAAAAATTTGCACGTTTCTTCACATGTGAAAAGTATTTAGACAGAAGAATCATTGTTCCCCTTCAAGTATTTATTCCAGATTTTTAAATTCTGTATTTGTTGCATTTTACAAGAAGGTTTTTTGGGCTTGTGAAGGAAAACATTCACCAAAATTCTTTTGTCTTATTAGGAAATGGAACAGCAAAGAAAGACCTAAAATTCTTTTTTAAAGAAGGAGATATCATTATTTATTTGAAATGATTAAAAATTGTCTCCAGTATTTGAGAAACCAATCCTTGTGTGACTTTTTTTTCATACGTTTGCTGTCTGTGGGTTTTGGTGGCAAAGCCAGCATTTGTTATCCATTCTTAATTGTCCTCCCAAGTTGAAAACAGTTCGCCCCTTGGAACTGACTCAGTCCACGTGGTGAAGGTATCTGAAAAAGACCATTAGCTAGGGAGCTTACCCGTTTTTCGTTTTTCATTTTTCACCTTCCACCTTCCACCCTCCACCCTCAAATATCACTAACTAGCTCTACGCTTTGTACCAAAGTCGAAGGCAATTTTACTTCCTTTATTCACTGATTTGCTTAAGAGATGAGCATGTTTCTTTGGGAGTGGGACTGGGAGGTGTAGGCATGTTGGGGTGGTGGGAATATTTTCTGTTTCTTGATCAGCTAAAATGTGATGAAAAAGTACTCATTTATTCCATGCAGTAATCTCACTTAACTTTTTAGTTAACAAAGTGTAGAGCTGGATGAACACAGGCCAAGCAGCATCAGAGGAGCAGAAAGCTGACGTTTCGGGTCTAGACCCTTCAGATATTTTCTGAAGAAGGGTCTAGACCCGAAACGTCAGCTTTCCTGCTCCTCTGATGTTGCTTGGCCTGCTGTGTTCATCCAGCTCTACCCTTGTATCTCAGATTCTACAGCATCGGCATTCCTACTGTCTCTAACTTTTCAGTTACCTGAATTTGAGGCTTGGAAACCCTAACTAAAGGTGATACTGAGAGGGAAAAGAAATATCCATGCAAAATTGCTTAAAATGTTTAATTGGGTCAGTTACTTGCCTTTTTTTCCCATTCTGCCTCTGTTAAAACTGGTGGGTTCAAGGTTCATTGGGTTCAGAGATGAGATTTTTTTGTACACCCAACTCCAACTCACCTGTTTGGTGTGTTAAAATTATCCTCCTGATTTTAGTGCCATTATCTACACACTTTAATACAAGTAAGTAAGACTGTGCTGAGCTAGTAATGACCAGGCCTAGTTTTAGAAGTTATTGCTCTGGAGCCAAAGATCTAATGTTAAAAAAGAACCTTTTTCTGTTTGAACATATTAAGAGAACATTGACGATTGTCCTCCACAGCTATATTTGGATCCCATTGAAATATTTCCAGTTTGGAAATGCATTTATGTTGTATTTCCCCTTCTTTTCTCTTTTAGTAAATGATTGAATTACGATTTTTCATCCTTGCCTCTCAGTATTTGCCACTTCAAAGTTGAAGTTAACTTTAACTATTGTTAACTTTTCAATTCAGGCAGATCCGCTAGAACAAGGAGTGAAGCCTGATCTGTCGTGGTCAATATTAAACAAAAACCATAATGACAATGGGTCATAATCAGCTGTCGGTTAGACTTGTCCATCTATTTCGGGTTTTAATTTTTTTTTTGCATAACAAGTGCAAGCTGATAGTGTGTCAAAGCAAGAGAAAAAGCATCTGTGATCTGAGTGAACAAGCAAGTAGGTATATACGAGTGGAAATAATATTTCCTTTATTTATCATATTTTTAAAGTTGCTAATATTAGTAGTTTGTCATTGAAGCTCTCTTTGTTGCCAGATTCTCTAGTCTCCCAGTTACGTAGTTCGACTTAAAGGGGGTGGGGAAAAAGGATTGTAAATTAATTTTCTATGACCATAAGGTTGAAATGGTGAAAATACAAAAAGCAAGAATTAATTCCAAAGCTACAATTTTTTTTTTCAGGGTTGATGGTGTAATGAGAATTATGACTTCTGATAGATTATTGAAAAGCATGCAAATACTTCAAGAACATTTGGATGCTCTGATGGAATTTGATGTAAGTAGTTACCTGCGGGTAAAATAGGTTATTTAGTTCGGGCGTGTTTTTTCTTCACAGGGCTGATGGTGCAATGAGGACTATGGCTCCAGAAAAATTATTGAAAGGCATGCCAATACTGCAAGGGCAGTTGGATGCGCTACTGGAGTTTGATGTAAGTAGTTTAACAGCTTGACAGCTTGTGGTTATGACTACCATTGCTGAACTGAACAGGTTCAGTTCAGAAATTAATATTGATTTGGATCTGTGTCCTTGTTAAATCTTGCATGCATACAATATTGCAAATGCTGAATGCTTAGTGACGCATGGGCAGTTTGTGTTCGTGAAATGCATGACCTTATTTGAACACCTGCTTTTTCACCCCTCTTTTTTTTTAATGCATGTTCGTTCAGAAAATACATGTTTCCTCCATTTGTAATTTCTTTGCAGCCTGTACCTGCTCTTATATTTTTGTGTGATACAAATTTGTAGCAATGAATGCCATAAATTGCTCTCTTGGCCTTAAAATTCTCATTATGCCAGAACTGTCTAAATTCAAGTTGCATATCCATTTTTATTGTTGATTTAATGACTATCTCTCTAAAGCTGAAAGTACCTCTGGGAGGATTTGAGTTGGATGCAGAAGATCTCCAAATCCTATACCAGCTACGGTTGCTACTTTCCAATTATTTGGTACCTTCAGTTTGCTGATGATTATGGTGTTCAGCTCCAATTACACTCCCAGATAAGAAACAGCCCACACCTGCATGCAGAAAAACCTGTCTACAATTAGGCACGGGCAAATAAGTAATTGCAACATTTGTGTCATTCACTGTCTCTAGATCTCTTTCTCTTTCCAAGGTCTCTGAATCAAGTCCAGACATTGTAAGGCGAGCTGTGTTTCTTCAGGTGTTTAATAATTGACTACTTGCTTTCAGTAGGTCTGTACCTGGGCCCCTTCTCCTGTGATAACCAAACCAAAAAGACTTGGCATTGATCTGAGCAATAGGAAGTAATATATACCTCTCCAATACTGTGTACAGTAAAGTTCCTGTTACGTAGAATTTTCATGCAATTGATGGGAGTAGGTTTCCACACACTGGGAACCAATGGTTTGGTCCCCTTTTTTTCCTTTTGATTGAACATCACGGACTGTGTTTATGAATGGCCTTTGCCACATTTGTGTAACCATCACCAACTCCCCTCCCCATTCCCTGTGCATTCTGGAATCTGACAATGTCCATATTACCTTGAATGAAAAATATGACTTTTTTTAAGTAATATCTATCTTCTAATGCCTTGTAATCATAACAGTATGGCCAATTTTACTTGATGTTTATACACGGTACTCTTAAGTTGCAGAATAAAATCACAATTGAGCATCTTGAACTTTTGAAACAAATCTGCAATCTTTCCACTGGTCTTTTGATAAAAGGTGCAACCTCTAATTATAAAGGCAATGGCTAATGCTGTATGAACTAAAGGAATGTGTTATGATTTACACTTAAATGACTGACGTCACACGTTTGATTATGGCAAATGGAATTTTTTTGAAGTGCTGACCGTCTGATTTGCAGTCTGTCTTTTGCTACTTAGTTTATACACCTTGTTGATGTAGCTTTTGAGAGAAGTTAAAGGATGGAGCCTTTTGAATAATGTGGTAAATCCTAATCTTCACAAACAAAAGTCAAACAATACCCGTAGAGGGCAAAATTCTCTGGGAGGCGTTAACCTGATGTATTAGATGTGTTTCTCTCCACTGCATCAAACATTTTAATTTGTGATTGTGGTTTCTAGTTGTTAGTTGGCATAAGTAGCCCGGTTTTAATGTTTTGTCCATCTTCCACCCTCTGCTCCCAACAATCCAGATCATTTGAAAAAGTTAATTAACTGTTTTTCTATTTTATTCTAGGAAAACAGCAGAGACTTCGATAATCCCTCTTTTTGTTCCTTTATATATCTGTACTACAAAATTTGAATATAGAAAAGTCCTGAAGTGAAAAAGGCCATTTATTACACATGACCAGCTGGAATTTTTATGTATGCATTATTTAATTTTGTTAGTCACCTTTTTTAATTGAGTTTTGGGTAACAAGATTTCTTCTTGAGTGTTTCTATGAAGTTGGATAAACCGTTTAAAGCCAGTGTTTGCTTACACTTCAATATAGTGTGATTTTCTTTGTTTCATGGCAAATGGAGTCCTTGCAACATTCAGCATAGACTTGATCATTCTGTCATCTTCTGCATGGAAAAGCATTCATTGCACCATAAGTTGTGTAACTGTGTGTGCGCGCATCTTTGAGAATGTAATGTATTACAAGAAAACTTATTTGACAGAGCAGTTGCAAATTAATAATTGTTTGGTATTACAGGTCAGCCCTGGTGAATTATCAAATGGAGTAATAAATGCTGCTTTCTTGCTACTTTTCAAAGATTTAATCAAATTATTTGCATGTTACAATGATGGAATCATTAATTTGCTAGGTGAGTACAATTTGTAAAATGAGATCAGTAGGAAATTAAAAACATTTTCCTCTCTTGATGCTAACTTTGAAAATGCTGTCCACATCATTAGTTTTAGCTTTCAAAGCACCATTTCTTTTTACTACTTATAGCAATAATCTACATTCTTGATAATATAGATAAATGAAACTTTTTTATTTTAGAAAAATATTTCGAAATGAAGAAGGGACAATGTAAAGAAGCATTGGAAATTTATAAAAAGTTTCTTACTAGGATGACAAGAGTTTCAGAATTTCTTAAAGTTGCTGAAGTAAGTAACTTAAAATCATTTTAAAAACATTTTGTGTTGTCTGCAGTATAGCCTTGTTTTGACACTTTTTCTGACTTCTGGTTCCTTTAAGACCGTAAGATCTCGGGACCTAGGGACCAAATGACTCTGTTCAACCTGTTGATTCAGCACTGCTGATGTTTCTCAGCCTGTTTTTCTTGCCTTCTCCCTCTAGCCCGTGATCCCATTACTAATCAAAAACCTATCTATCTCTGGCTTAAATACACTCGGTGACTTGGCCCCCACAGCCTTCTGCGGCAATGAGATGGACAGATGCACCACCTGATGGCTGAAGAAATTCCTCCTCTTCTCAGTTCTATAGGGGTATCTGTTCATTATAAGACTGGGTTCTAAAATCTCCCAGTGGAATCATCATCATTTCCATGTCCACTGTATCCATGCCTTCCAGTATTTTAAGTTTCGATGAGATTCCCCCTCATCTCCTTCTAAACTCCATTGACTACAGACCAGTTCTTAACTGCTCCTCATTTGATATGCCCTTCAACCCTGGGACCATTTTTGTAAACCCTTTCTGGATCCCCTCAAAGGTCAGCATATCCTTCCTTTAAATTTATGGGACCTAAAACTGACCAATATTTCAAATATGGTCTGACCAGAGCTTTATTCAGCTTCAGTACTACATCTCTGTTGTATTCTAGCTCTCTTGAGGTGAATGCTAACATTGCAATTGGCTTTCCAACTACCAACTGAACCTGCATGTTAACCTTGAGAGAATCCTGAACTAGGACTCCTAAGTCCCTTTTGTATTTCTGATTTTTTTCAAGCCCAAGTGTGTAACCTCGCACATCCAGTTCAAGGCCTTCTGCTGCCTCCCTGCCTTCTCAATTCTACCTGTCCCTTCATCTAGCTTGTGTCATCTGCAAACTTAGCAACGGTGCCCTCAGTTTCTTTGTCCAGATTGTTAACATAGAAAGTGAATAGTTGTGGTCCTAACACTGACCCTGATGGAATTCCACCAGTCACTGGCTGCCATCCTGAAAAAGACTCCTTTATGCCTACTCTGCCTTCTGCCAGTCAATCAAGTGGCTTGTTCGGAGAAACCGTGTAGTTTGAGGGGTTTTTTTTTTTGACTGGAGGTCTGTGACCAGTGGTGTTCTGGAAGGATCCATGCTGGGGCCTCTGTTTTGTAATATAAAATAATTGGATGAAAATGTAGGTGGCCTGACTAGTAAGTTGCAGACGGTGCAAAAATTTGTGGAATTGTGGACAGTGAGGAAGCTTGCCGAAGGATACAGTGGGATATAAATTAGTTGGAAAGTTGGGCAAGAAATGGCAGATGGAGTTTAATTCAGACAAATGGACATATGCATTTAGGGAGGTCAATTGCAAGAGGGAAGTATTCAGTAAATGGTAGGACCCTTAAGAGTATCACTAATCAGCGGGATCTTGAGGTGTAGGTCTGTAGCTCCCTGAAAGTGGCAACACAAGTAGATAAAGTGTTAAAGGCATTTGGTGTGCTTGCTTTCATTGGTGAAGGCATTAAATGTAAGATTTGGCAAGCCATTTTGCAGCTGTGTAAAACTTTTTTTTTTTTTTGTTTTAGTTAGACTACATTTGGATTATTGTGTGCAGTTTGGATTAGAGCGTGTTAGCTACAGTGAGATGTTGGGCAAACTGGATCATTTTCCACTGAAGCGTGGAGGCTGAGGGGTGACCTGCCAGAAGCACATAAAGTTGAGGCATGTTTAGGGTCATAGTTGGAGAGTCTTTCCCAGATAGTAGTATTTCAAATTTGAGACTGTTTCAAATACTGTAAAGTACAGGTTTAAGATGAGGGTGGAAGTTTATAGATGTACAAGCAAAATTTTCCTTTTTAGAGGGTGATACGTGCCTGGAACATGCTGCCAGAGAGGTAGTAGAAGCAGATGCGATATTAATGCTTGAGGCATTTAGACATGAACAGGCAGGGAATAAAGGTACACTGGTCATGTGCAGGCAGATGGGATTAGTTTAGAATGGCATCATGGTTGGTGCAGACATGGTGTGGCGAAAGGCCTGTTTGTGTGCTGGTACTGTTCTGTGTAATTGATGGAAGGCTGTTCAGGAGTATTTTGGAATTTGAGCCTGGAGGTTACAAAGGTGTGGGTGAGGGTTTCCCCTTGCCACTCCATTTTCTCCTTCCCGTTCAATTCTATTTTTTTTTTACTGTCTAGTGTAAAGTCTTCCCATGTACATCCATATATTTTCCAATTGTTTCGCTCACTTCAACAGTTTCCATTTCCTGGATCAGATTGTGTCTCATCTTAGCCAGTCAGGTTAACCTTGGTGATGGGTAAAATTCTGAAACAAGAATTAAAATTCACATCGGCAAATAGAGGTTAATTTATGAAATAGAGCATGGATTTGTTATGGGAAAATCATGTTAAACTAACTTGCTAGCATTTTTAAGAGTCAACCAAGAATGTTGTTGAGAGTTCATGAAAGTCATGTACATATCAACACAAACAAAAAATGCTACGCAACAGATTTGAGTAAAGTGAGCTACTGGAATAAAGAAGTAGAAGCCAAAAATGGATACAGAATCTTAAAAAGGTTATCTCTTTGTCCGAAGTGCATATGTTTATAATCTCCAGCCCTCAATATGTTGTGCTTGATTATTTAAAATCAAAGTCATCAAAGCATCCATGTATAATGGCATCTCTGCATAGAGGCTGCTGAGGTTTTCCAGCACTTTCTGCTTTTATTTCAGATCTCCACCACAGGCAGCAATTAATTTTTGCTTGAATGATTAATGTTGATTTATTTCAATGTACTTTCAAAATTAAAACTCTTAAGTTTTGAAATTGCATTCGATGAGACCTTAACAGTATATTCTAAAATAATCAGATTATTTTAACTTTTGTGTTACAGCAAGTGGGTATTGACAAAGGTGACATTCCAGATCTGTCTCAAGTAAGTTTATTTCATATTACTTTGACATTCTTGTTCAACTATTAATCTGCATGTTAGAAATGCATACAAATTTCACATGCAGACAGTATCTAACCATATCTACTTGTGGTGAGGCCTGGTAGGTCTTGCATAAGTACTTAAATTGGCTGATCTTATTGTTTCAATTCCTATTCTCACTTGTTATTGCCACTGATATTGCTTCACTTGCAGATGATCTGGGCAACAATAACAATAGCCTAGAAACTAGCACTGAGTACTTCTTACTGGACCATGTTTGTGATCACAAATGAAAAGTGCTGTGTCAACTGCTAAGAGCAAACTGGATTTTGCATTGGATCATGATAGGCTCATGGATCTCTGAATTGGTTTCATTCCTAGAAATAGAGTAGTGTACATTTTAGCTTTGCAGTTTCATCAGTATCAGTGGAACAAAATTTATCACAAAACAAGAGTTTCTTCTAGAATTTTCTTTTGGCTCCACCAAATAGATTATTCAATGTAGTCTTGTTTTTGAGCAATGGCAAAACAGTATTTGCTTTGAAACTAAAATAAGTGGAAGAAGTTAAACTCCATGTTTGAACTTTTCTTCCATGGAGGAAAAAGTTCCCATGGGTAAATTACTTTGGTGAGACACAAGCAGCCCAGGTGTCATCTCTTATTCCGAAAACAGGATTTATCTGTGCAGTGACAACTGCTTTTAATAGGTTAGAGGTTAAGTGTTCATCTAGGATTCTAATGGAGAATTCAAGTTGAAAACAAATGCCAAAAAGTGACGTGCATGTTTTTCATGTTGACAACTTGGTTTGATGAAAAACCATCTTCTTTGTGATCTTAACTTTTAAAAGGATTAAGTTTTTAACTTTATTTTTGGAATCTGCTTTAAATTTTTCTTACAGTATCTTTTACAGAAAACAAGATTTATTCAATCTTCACAGTTTTCAACTTTATGGATTGTGCTGCTAATCCCACTGTGATGGTGAATTATCCTTGGTGGCATTTTAATATAGTGGTGGACAATAGCATCATTATTATCTTTAATGTATAGTGTTGGATTTTATTAAGCGACAATAATTTGCAGTTTTTGTAACATTTCATCAAAATCATTTTGGTTGCATTTTGCTACTCCTTTCAGTAACATGCTGTTTGATAGTGTTTTGAAAGTATACACAAGTGGATCCAATTACCGTGTTCTGTATGAGAAATATTTTGTCCATGTATCTGCGTTTCTTAAATGGCAATGGTCATCACAATCTCAGAATTGGCGTAGAAGGTTGCCTCTTGACCCATCATGCCTCTATCAGTTCTTCTACCCAATGCCAATCTCTTGCCTTTTGCCGGTGTCCCTACACATCGTTTCAATCCAAATAATTATGCAATGCTCTATTAAATACCTCAGTTGAACCTGTTTCCATCAAGTTTTCAGGCTGTGCATTCCATACCTTAACTACTACCTGTGTCAAAAAGTTTTTTCTCGCCTCATTCTTGCTTTGTTTACACATCACTTTAAATTTTTGCCCTTTCATTTGTTTTGCTTTTACAAATAGGAACAGATTCTCCCTGTCTACTCTATCCAGCCCACTCATGATTTTGTAAACCCCTATCTTATCTTCTCTCAGTCCCCTTCTCTTGAAGAACAGTCCCACCTTGTTCAATCTATCCTAATACCTAAACATAACTGGTTCTGGGAATAAGCCATTCTTTGTAAATTGCTTCTGTGTTCTCTGTCATGCATTCATACCTTTCCTATAATGTCGTGCTCAGAACTGTGCACACTACTCCATCTAAGGTCTAACAAGTGTCCTTGCAAGTTCAGCGTTACCTCTGTGCCCCTATTAATAAAGCTTAGAGCACTGTTTTATTGTCTGAGGTCTCAGCCTGTCCTGCAATCTTCAATGATCTGTGCACGTTTACACCCGGGTCCCTCTGCTCCTGCACAATCATCGGAATTGTACTCCCTACTTTGTAATGCCTTTAGTGCTTTTCTGACCAAAGTGCATAATTCTTTTATTTATAAATTCCTTGCGTGTGGCCCTCTGAACGGCAGTAGTCCCAACATAGATCAGCACCGCACTCAACACTGCAGTTGGAGCTTCAAAGCAATACCAGCCCACTGTAAATCTGCTGGTTAGTCTTACCCAGAAAAGTACAGTGCAATCAAGAAAGTAGTAGTCAAGGATATCTACCAGCGTGTGAACTGTATCGTCATAACCACCAGGCTAACTTTTGCATAGAATTAATAGAATAAATTCTTCCTTGCAGGAAAGAGGGCTACATTTGGGGTGGCACGGTGGTTGGTGGTTAGTGGTTAGCACTGCAGCCTCACAGCGCCAGCGACCTGGGTTCGATTCCAGCCTCGGGCGACTGTCTGTGCAGAGTTTGCACATTCTCCCCGTATCTGTGTGGGTTTCCTCCGGGCGTTCCGGTTTCCTCCCACAGTCCAAAGATGTGCAGGCTAGGTGGATTGGCCATGCTAAATTGCCTGTAGTGTTCACGGGTGTGTGGGTTATAGGGGGATGGGTCTGGGTGGGATGTTCCAAGGGTCGGTGTGGACTTGTTGGGCCGAAGGGCCTGTTTCCACACTGTAGGGATTCTATGGTGATCTATGATGATTTGATTTGACAGTTAAATTTAGATGCAGAATTGCATGTTGACCAATGTGATAATTGTGGAAATGATGGAGTGCAAAAGCATGGCATGAATTTCCTTTGTTTTTAAATTTTAAAGCTTTATCATCTTAGTGTGGGAGTGTGGAAAATTCTGTAATTGCCAGACATCTTTTTTAGCTTACCAAATATTATATGTATACAGTGTTCTTCACCAATCCGCTAAACTAACTTCTGTATCTTTCTTTTTGTCAGTTAGTATATGGCAATACATCACTACTTAATTTCTGTCAAAATTGCACTGTTTAAACTTGTGTTTCCTATCCTCTGCTAGAAAGGAGGAGTATAATGTACACTATGCCCCAGATTTGTAGGGGTTTGGTGGGGCGGAGGCGATACAGATAGCACATATCATTGTTCAGTGTCATTGCCACTCCTTCAGGAATGCACAGATTAACAAGAAAGTCAGCAATTTCATTGTATTACTCAGTGCACAGCTATACGCTTAGGTGTAGACTTCCCAGAAATTGTAATGATGAAACCATCAATAACTTCAATCTTCTGATATTGCTGGCAGAACCTTTTAACCAAGGCATAACTTTCAATAATCAATGTAGCTGAGTTTTTAGCAGTGATAGAAAATTTGATGAGCAACAAAACTGGTCCTGGAAGAATTTAGTATTTGCAAAACTGTTAAATAGTAGTTAGTGAATTCTTATAATTTAGTTTAAACTATTTAAATTTAGGAATATTATAATTTAAATTTAATCTATTCTAAAACTTTAAATTTATGTGTATATAGTTAACAAGCATTTTTAACTTTTTAAAAAATTTTAGTAAGTTTCAGTCTTCAGTATGGCTATTTGAAAATGTTTTTTGTGATTGACTGCTTGGACAGCTTGATTACTCCATTACTCCAGCCTCGCGTTGAGATCCCACGAAAGACAAAGACAATTAGTTGTTATTTCTGCACAGCAATACAGCCAGAATTGTCATTGGAGAAATCACTAGCTCTCTGTAAGACTGAGTCAAATGGCAAGCATGATTCCTTTTGCAAATTCCAGGCTGTAAATACTTTGTTAGCTGTGTATTGTTTAGGTTTATATTTATCACTATCACCTCAAACTGTGGATGTAGTGATTCAACATTGAGCCTGCATAATTTTTAAAAAAAAAAAGGAATTTCAGGCTTAGAGGATTTTGAGGTTAAAATACTCAGAAGCTGATAATTAAATGAATTGAAGAATGAAACATTAACCTAGGTCATAATTTCAATCCTTGATTGACTTGGAGTTTGATTTAGGAGTACCAAATACAGATTTATGACCAAGAGTGCTATCTATTATACAAACACAGATAGAGGCCATTCACTAGAATGACCAAAATAGTTGTTAATCCGACATTTGCAATGCTGTTCTTGCACATAGAATGACGAGCTGAAGAAAGATTGGTGCATAATATTGAGACAAAGCACTCGCCATCAATCAGAGCGGAACAGGAGGAAAGTATCTTGTGTAGGATGAATCCTTTAGTTTACCAAAGCTTACGCTTACAAAAGTTTTAATTGTTGCTGATGTTTCTAATAAACATTAACATTCACCAATGTAATTTAAGAGTAAAATTAAATGCAACATAGAACGTGCTTTATCCGATTAATTTTATTTTTGTTTATGCCAAATGATAATCCTTTATCTAACAAAGTTGAATTTGCTATACCTGATCTAGTGTTTCACTGTTAAATTCACTGCCATTACTATTCACCACAACTCATCTATTTGAGTTATCAGCAGTAATATGTAGGAAAAATGCAGATGTTTGTTAACTTTCTTATAATAATTTTCTTTGAAAATGCAGGCAATACACCGGAGAATTCTTGCTGACCTTAAAAATTCTGACAATGAGAGTTCACCTTTTAAAGACTGTACCATTGATAATCCGGTAACCGTCCATATGTTATCCAATATACCTCTGGTGTGCTGGTCTTTCTGTTACTATATTTGAAGTTGTTGAAGTAGGTTCTTCAATGGGATACTTAACCAACTTGGTATTTAGGTTAACTTAGATCCTGATGTGACTTTATGTAGCCTCACTTTTCAAAATTCACCTTGACAACAGCGAGAGCATCAGGTAAATAACAATGACATTAAACATTGTTTCAACTTTGTATTGAATGCTGTAAAAAGAATTTTCTTTGAAAATTTCTTCATAAAAGCACATGAGATACTTCATTAAAGTCAAACATTTTAAATAAATTTGATCTTCTGGTTGAACTGATGTATGCAGAAATTTAATATAACCTAGTTATCAAAAAGTTTACTGTAAACTACTGGATCTTTAAAATATTTCCTGATGCATAGGAGTAGGGACAATTAGGGTCCAAAAAGGGATTTACTTTTGGAGGCTGGGGTATTAACTGAGGCATTAAACAAACACTTTCCATCTGACTTTACCATGGAAAAAGATGCCATCCAAAGAGGGAAAGAGGAGGAAGAAGACACTGGAGAGATTTAAAATGATAGGGAGGTGGTATTAGATGGGCTGTCAAAACTTAGCATTGATCGTATTTTGTTTTTAAAAATCAAATGAGATTCTTCCAAAGACACTGGGGAAAGAAAATAGTCCACAATTTTCCCATCTTTGTTAAATCTGGCAGGATTGCAGAAATATAAATGTTTTCACCATTGTTCAGAAAACAAAAAATGGTTTAAGGATAAAACCAGTCAGGCCAGTCAGTTAAACTTTGTGATGGAAAGCTTCTGGAACCAGTAATTTAGGGAAAAATGTTAAGTCATGTGGACAACAGCATATTAATTAAGGAAAGCAAGCAGATTTTATTACGGGCTAACCATGTTTATCTAACTTGGAGTCCTTTGAGTTGATGAGGGCAATACTTTTAATGTGCTCTACATAGACTGCTGTGCAGCATTGTTATAATAGCTCTTGGAATAAAAGGGACAGGCAGAAAATGATACAGAATTGTCTGATTTAACAGTATAACAGAGCTCTGATTAATGCATTCTTTTGGGCTATAGGATGGTGTATAGCAGAACTGTCTGGGGTCAGTGTTGGGAACTTTTCTTGACCCTGGTGTATAGAGCACAATATCCAAGTTTTTGGATGATGCAAAGCTTGGAAGTGTTGTAAACTGTGAAGAGGATGGTGTAACCTTTCAAAAGGGCAGACCATTTGATGGAATGGGCAGATGGGTGGCAAATAAATTTCATTATAGAGAAATATGAATTGGTAGGTGGAGCATGTAAAGACAATATATAAAATGAAGTGTAATTTTTTAGCAGAAGCAGAAGGACCTGCGTGTTTGAGTGTTAGTCATGAACGTGACAGGACAAGCAAAGAGTAACAATAAAGCATGTGGGTGTAATAATATGGACTTAAAGTAAAAAAGCAAAGATGTTATGTTGAATTTATAAAAGACACTAGTTCAGTTTAAACTGGAGTGTTGGTCGTATTTCTAAACGTTTTGCCTAAGAAGAATATTAAAGTACTAGGGAGAGTGCAGAAGACATTTATGACTGTCTCATTATGAAATTAGATTGCAGAAATCAAGATGTTTACCTTGGAGAGCACAAGGCTGAGAAGAGATTCAGTGGATGTATTCAACGTCATGAGGGGCCTTCATGAAATAGATGCAAAGAAACTTACCACTTTTGAGGTGATTGCAAAGAAGGCACAGATTTAGAGTAATTGGCCAAAGAAGCAAAAACCTGAGGGAAAAACTTTTCCATGCATTTAAGTGGTGAAGGTCTGGTGTGCACTGCCTGAATGCGGTGGAGGCATTATTTGATTGACACATCAAAAGGATTATCTGAAAAAGAAGAATGTGGCACAGGCAGGGGAATGGCATGAAGTGAACTGCTCATTTGGACGGCCAAGTGGATGTGATGGGTTGAATGTCTCCCCTCTGTATTGTGATGATTGTGATCCTTCAAGGTCTCAATCTCATAGAAATCTTAGATTAACAACTCAGTTACAGACAGTTCCCTAGTTGCAAACAGGTTCTCTTGAGCCTGTTTGCAAGTAGATTTCAATGCAAGTCTGAACAGAATGCAAGACCATACAAACTAGCCATTCGTAAGTACAGGAAACAGTCATATGTCGGATCTTTAAAATCACACCCCTGTATGGGATCGCGTTTGTAAATATGAAAGTTCATAAGTCAGACGTTTGTAAATCGGGATACCCCTGTATAATATGTAAATCAAGAAATCAACAACCTGAAAAGTTGAAGCTTGGTGCTAATATAGAAACAATATGTGGGAAGTACTCAGCAGGTGAGGCAATGTCTGGAGAGACAAAATTATTCCTCTTTGAGAATGATGTTAAAGATAAAATGCTGGGGAATTGGAGAAGGGATGAAGAACAAGAGGTCAGATCTGTGATGGGAAGCAGGAAAGATTAATTGACTAGAGAAATAGTATGTAGCAAAAGGAAATGGCAATGGTAACAAAAGATAAGTTTAGAGGAGTTGAAAATATCAAAGTAGGACTATTACCTTTAACCACTGCCCCACAAAAATTGGAATTATGGTTATGAGTTGAAATTGTCAAATTTGTGAATTGCCTTATTGAAAAGTTGGATGTGATTTCTTGAGATTGTGTTAAGCTATACAAAAAACTGAGGATGCTGGCATCCAGTATAGCTCAATGCAACAAAAACGGAAATTGCTGGTAAAACGCAGCAACTGTGGGGAGAAATTAGTTAACGTTTTGAGTTCAGTGACTGTTCTTCAGAGCCACAGATCTGCTGAGGTTTTCCAGAATTTCTTTCGTTTTTTGGTGTAGTTCAATGTCAGTGGTGAGCTATATTGGTCAATTTAGGGGTCATTGGTCAAGTTAGGTGTGGGGTTGTGAATTAAAATGACAAATGGCGAGAAGGTGAAATTGGTAGACTAAAAACAAATTAACCAGTTGGCACTATAAGACTGCATCATGGGCAACAAATACAGTATGACGAATTAAAGGAACTTAAACATTGCTGAAAGCAGACAACAAGTTGAAGCTTTTTGTCTTGCAGCATGAGTGGGTGTTAATTCGTTGAACCATTGGCATGAAGATGCAACAGAGACACTTGATTGTCAATCTTTATAATTCAGACTGGGCAGTTAGACTTTGGTCAGGGTTTGGTGGTTTCCATGATACTATTGTTTTTTGACATGGAAAAGATGTAATTTATGTACAAATTCCATTTGTCTACAGGAACAGGATTTTAGTGTACATAAATACACCACACTGCAAACCTGACTAATTATCAGAAATTAGTTACCAGTATAATTATAGAGTCATAGAGCTGTATAGCACGGAAACAGATCTTTTGGCCCAACTCGTTCATGCTGACCAGTTATCCTAAATAAATCTAGTCCCATTTGCCAGCATTTGGCTTCTATCCCCCTCACTAATGAATTCCAATATCAGAGTAAGATCAAATAGAGGGCTGCTGTTCTGAGGCTTTCGAATACAGCCTGGTTGATCATGACTGACATGCTGCCGGCTGTGAATGGTCAGTGGGATATGCCATTTGATATGGTCCTGCAGGCTTAGGGATATTTGGCCTATGTACCTGACGTCAAACTGGCACTAAAATTCTAAAACTGCATTACTCATTTGTGTGGTAGGCAAAACTACTTTTGTGACTAAATGGCAGCATCCTGTAAGTGGCGAAAATCACTTGTAGGATTACTGCAGTTCAGCATGAAACAGCTAGCTTAACCAATTGCGGCAGTCTTTGAGGCCAGGTATATAGGCTATACATCCCGACGACAAGTGGATTGTATTAAAGAACACATCCTCATTTGACCACATGTTGCAGGCAGACTCAATGGAGGGGAATTTCATTTGACGGAAAAAGATAGAACTGCTGTGGATAGTGACAGTACCAGAACTGGTGCAGTGGAAATTGAGAAACTGGAAGAATAGAATCAAGTCCTTTACAGGTTACAGGGTAGAAAGAAGTAAAATCAAAGTAGCTGAATCATTGCATTTGGAGTAAGTATTGATGCACGTCTCTTCTTTGAAATGGAGGTACAAAAGTTAGAGGGGGCATGAAATTGGGTTGTTAGTGAGACCACACCTGCAGTACTGTGTGCAGATGAAGTCTCCCTACTTGAGTTTTAGTTGTATTGGAGGCAATTCAAAAAAAATTTCCCTATGCTGATTGTTGGGATGAAGGGATTGCCTTCTGAGGAAAGGCCGAGAAGGTTGGTTTGATGTTCATTAGAGTTTTGAAGACTGTGAGGAGACCTTATTTGAAACACATTCATTATGAAGGCTTGACATTGGATGCTGATAACTCCTATGCTGAAACTTAGACCTGGAGGTCAAAATTCAAAAATCAGGTTGTTTTTTTTTTTTTTTTTAAAAAGTCCCTTGAGATGTGGGTGATACTGGCCGGCCAGTATTTATTGCCTGTCTCTAGCTGCCCTTACACTGAGTTGCTTGCTAGGCTATTTCACAGGGCAGTTGAGAGTCAACCACATTGCTATGGGTCTGGAGTCACATGTAGACCACGCTAGGTGCTGGGTTGTGAAAAAACCAACTCTTGTGATGGACTGTTTTCAATGCCTCCACTCCAAGAGGCAAGAGCAGTCTGAAATAATGAGTGTAGTAGGTAATCCTGAATTTGCATCTTGGAAAGGAGTTAGAGGTCGCCTGTGCAGTTGAAGTCTGTAGTTAGAGGCTATGATGGGGCCTATCTCTGACCGGAGGTGAGCCCAGTGATAGTCTTAGAATTTACGGTTTTGTTTTGGTCATAGGGTTTTATTAAAAGAAGCGGAGTACACTCCGTGTTGCCATTCAGCCTCTGCAAGCTAGAGATTATGGAAAGACGAAACAAATAGTAGTGCTGTCTTCGTCACTAGGTTTAATGACAGTATTGCATTTTTGACCCGAGAACAGAATTCTCTAAGTCAATGCTAATAAATGGATTTGAAGTTATGTACCTAGAATTAACTGAGCTAATTTTGTGATCGAGACATTATTCTTTGTCTGGTATTAAGCTAACCTATGGTCCAAAGCTGATCAAGAAATCTGCAGGTAGCATGGACCACTTCTAACCTGTTTTGGAGGAAAGACTTGGATCATGCCACAGCATCTGAACAAGTTGCTTTCTGATGTTTCATTCTTGGTTAACTGATAGCACGCTCAACTCTGAGGCAGAAAATGGTAACTTTAAGCCCTGCTGTAGAGATTTGAGTATATAGTGCATGCAGTGTGCCATTTTTTAAGATGGAATATTGAAACAAGGAGCAGTCTGCCTTCTTGGGTGGATCCCAAAGAGTTTTAGTGCAGTATTAATGAAACATGAGAATTCTTGTGGTGTCCTGATCAACCTTTGTTCCTTTCAAAAAAACAGGCTGTCTAGACATCTGATCTCCTGGGTCCTTGCTTGTGTGTAAATTAGCTGTTGTATTTCCAACAGGAATGGCAACGCTTTGTGTGAGAGGGTTGGGGAGTTACGTTTGCTGCAAAGTCATTTAGGAAATCCTATGGTCAAGGCAATACTACACAAGTTCAGGTTCTTTATTTATCCTCACCCCTTTTAAGTTTTTAAAAAAACACTATGAAGTTGACCAGTTATCTTGTATGCCTCGTTGGCAGAAAGGGTCAGGGTTAACCAAGTATACATGATGGATTCGGAGTTTTAACACAGTTGAAGTGGAGGGAGGATAGGCACAAGAATGAAGAAAACAGGCTATTCCTTCGTTTTATTTAATTTATAACATTGAATTTTGAAGTTAATGAAGACATTTTGAGGGAATGCATAGGAAAGTCTCATGGCATAGTAGACAATATAGATAGAGATCTAAGGGCAAGGGGACTGCCAATGGAGCAAAGAAGTTACTAGGGTTGAGCAGACAGCTCAAGACAATAGGATTGAAGGTAGTTAAGGGTGGCAGGAAGACATTGAGGGTGGGAGGTACATGGGTGTAATGGGAGTAAAGAAGCATGAATTGGAGGAGGGTCTAGGAAAGGAACCATTTTAAGTGAATTTTCGATTTCCATAACCCACACTAAAAATCCAGTTTTAGCCTTTGGGTTGTTCCTCAGTTCTCCATGCTGATGTCATTACCAACATTACTGATTCACCTTCAGCTTCACTTTGAAGTTAAAGAGCAAAAAGGAATGCCATGGTATGGTGGTGGGGGTGGAGGGGGAAGCGGGTGGCAGAGTAATGGCATGAAACAGTACAGACAAATAAGGAAGAGATCATGCTTTTGGACTTGCTGTTCAGTGCCACAGCTGAAGACAAATAACATCTTGCTGTGTAATATGAGTGTCTTGTCTGTTTTGCAATTCTTTCCCCTGTCAACCGAGCAAGTTATTGTTACATCATGCTATTTCTGTGCTTTTGTGCATTCCTCCCGTTTTCCTATTTACCATTTTTATACCATTCACCAATTTCTCTGCTAACTAACTGCAGAAGTGAGCAATGTGATTGCAGCGAGGATATCTTGATTGCTGTCTATTTTATTTCTCATAAGAAGTGAAGATTTTGCAGTGATTTTAAGGACAGTTTTGAGGTGTAGTGCTGTTCTGAAATATGTTTTAACTGAAATTGTTTAAGAAAGTACTATTTCTCAGTTACTCCATTTCAGTTGATGCCTATACTTTTTAATTTCAATCGTTTCCTCCTTTTTATCTCGTTCGTATTCTTCTAGGTGAAGAGGTTGCACTTGAAAATTTATTTAAGCTGCTTGTTCAGCTACCCAAAAGATGGACTAAAACATGTTCTTATTCTTCCTTCAAAACAAGATGCAAATCTGTAGGAATGCAGACACTAGAGACACTTGGTACACCAGCCAGCATTGACAGAGAATTGGTATTCCAAAATGTAAATAATCTGAAATCCCTCCCTCCCTCCCTCCCTCCACCTGCCTCTTTTTTCCTCTCCCTGTCTTCCTCTCTCTCGATGCCTCTCTTTATATAGAGCCCTGGTCAACTGAGAGTTACTAATCATGATTTATATTATTATTTCCCTATGTGGCAAGGTGAGAAGACAGTCCCCAAGAATTACCTCAGTGGGTGCAGTGATTGGACTTGAAGTTGGCATTATTTTGCACCTTGATCTAGACAACTGACTGAAATGTGCTCCTTTTGTTGGGTGTATATCTTTTGAATAGATCTCAGTGCTCTTTAATTTGATAGTTTACTGTTAATGTTTCCATTTTTAAAAAAAGAAATTTCTTTCTCTAACACTAGTGAATTCTGCGAATATGATTGTAACTTTACAAATCCTGGCATATAAATGGTCTGAAGTTTTAAATCCTGTGAATAGATTAGGCAGATAAATAACCAAGAACAAAAGCAGAAGATTTTAGAAATATGAAGTATTCATCAATAAATTAGTGTTAATGTTTCAGTAGTTAGCCCAGTTTTTGGACACTTTTTTTTGATTAATTTAGCTATAGTGCAAAGGAGTTAAAATTAGTGAATTTAAATTCAATTTCAAACAGTCCAGGTGTTTCTAATATTGAATTCTGTTGGAGAATGCTCATGCTGTTGTCAAACAAAATCCATTTAATGCTACAGTATATAAATGCAATTTTTTCACACGAATAAATTTGAATCTTGCTTCTTTTTATACAATTTCTAAAATGCAAGAAACTTTAATGAGCCTACCTTAATCTAGTTTCAGACCTTCTAATTTGGGATTTTTTCAGAGGACAAATAAAATTTTAAAACCTGTTTATTTAGTGCCTTTGCTTAATTAAAGGCTTTCAATGGAGTTAAAAGCATGAGACTTATTTTGTGATGCTTTGGTTTTATGGAGAAAGTTAAAGCATGAAACTGGAGTGTTTACAATTTACAGTTTTCCCAGCAAATGATAATGGGTGATTGTTCAAGTTCCTTGTTTACCTAGCTGGTAAATTGCTAGTAGATGTGTTCTGAAAGTGTTGTGTTGTTGTTCCTTAGGCTCCTAGCAGTCTTCTGGAAGCGCTTGAGCAACACTTGAATACACTGGAAGGCAAGAAAAATGCAGCTGGCAGTAGGTAAGTTAGCTTCTGTTATGGTTATGTATTTTCATAAAATAAGTTCTCACTTAATATTTGATTTATGCTTACAGCTGCATCAATTTTAAATGCTATTATTCCTATTTAGCACTAGTATAAAGTAATTGAAATGCTCATTAAAAACTATTTATTGACATTTGGACAATGTTGTTATGAGGAATTAATTAACTGTCACATTTTGTACTACAGTGCCAGGAAAGAATCTTTCTTTGTCAACCAAATAGGTTCATTTGTGTTGTGGCATTTAGTCATTGATACCCAATAGCAAGTTTATCTATGCAAAGTAGTAAACAACCGAAATCCATTTTGTACCCTCAGCAAATTGGTGTTGTAAAATTAACTTTCAGGTGATTGACTAAATTTACCATAAGCATTTACACTTTTCCAGTTTTTTTTGTGCGGTTTACACTTCTATTTAGTGTGTAAGTGCACTGCTGTAAAGCTAACGAAGTCTTTTGAGGAGAAAAGGGTTATGGTTTCATTTCAAGAATATTTTGGTGGTATTTATTGTTTTTGGAAAAGAATTGAGGAACTCTAATTTTTATGTTAAGATTTAATCAGGTTTGAGAATTGTGAACTAGAGAATGCATACAAAGCAGTTGACCTGATGCCAAAGTTCTGAATTTTTCCAGTTTAAAAATTAAAATGCAATTAATACAATTTATGATTGAGATTGTAGAGTTGATGGCAGGATTTATTTTAGTTTCTTGCTGTCATTGGCAGAATTGTTTGTAGAGGAATGGATTCAGTTTAAATCATTGAGTGCAACTGTTAAATATTTGGAGATGGCAGTGTAAAGTGGATTGTCAGATCCCTAAAATTAATTACTTGCATTTGATGTGTTTTATGCATAATAGAAGCAATCACGTTGTGATCCCTTTGGGGAATGTAAACCAAAGTCCTGATTTTCACTGGAAGGCCCACGAATGTAGAAATCCCAACAGAAGTCCACTTTTTGCAACACCTACTTTAACACTGGTCTGAATCAGTGTAAATTTAAACATGAATTAACTGGCAAATAACAGTCGGTGCAAACTACACATTTGATGTGGAGTAGTGGATACAACAGACATGTATCTTGTGATATCACAAGCCTTTGTACTACATCTGTCTTTTCAGCTTGCTTTCTGGCATACAGGATCTTACACTTTTCTCAACTTGGATTTAGTCCTTGAGTCACCTGCTATGTAGCTCCACGCTGTCAGAATCTCCTAAAAGCAGGTGTCACCCTAATGCCACCTGTAGTAACTCGTTAGCTAGGTTCACAACAATCTTGACAATGTGTACTTCCCCTAGTGACCTCATTATCTGATCCTCTTTAATAAATGTTATAACACAATCTGGTCAACTTTGGTTTTGCCAAAGTAAAGCTATGGAACTGTCAAACTTGCAATCTCTGCTAAAACCTTGCTTTTGGATTTCTTTCCTTGTTTGTAACTGTTTTACACACGTCCTTGTAGACGTGCTTCTCTGTCCTCCCTTCTGCTGCAATGCTGTTTTGTCTGTAGCACTCCTTTGTCATCTCCAATATTGGTTTATCCTATTGGTACTAGTTCCAGGCCAGGAGCCATCAGGTCACTGAATAGTATTTCCTGTCATTCAGAATTGCAATCAATGCATTTATGGTTGATGCAAACCCTTTACGAAAGCTACAAGTATCCATCAAAAACAATTGTGGGTTCGACATGTATTTTAAAGCAATTGCTAATTTTCCTTGAGTAGATGCCTGGTAGTACAGAACTTAAAAATTCTTAAAAAGAGACTAGATTTGAAGCTTCTTGTCTTGCACTCATCCGAACTAAGATGCCAGAAACCGGTTTGAAGAAAAGGGACATTGATTTATACAGAGTGAGAAGAGGGTGTTGTGCATGTTTGTGTGTGCGTTTGTTTGTGCGCACGATAATTGTCATGGAGATCGGTAAGAACAATTGACCGCTTATCTTTCTTCTCAAACAGACAAGTAGATTTCTGATTCGTCAGACTGATGCCATGGTGATGCAGTAGTGTTGGCTATCTTGATGACTTTTTTTTTCAGAAAAGGGTCAATGTATATACAAATTCCTTTACCTACAGATTGATAGCGCTCAAGGGTATATTCCTCACTGTCAGTTGTTTATGAAAGTTTTTAAAATATTCAAATCAAATGTTAATTGCTCAATTTTCAATAACATTTTTTGTAGAATCATGTAATGATGAGCACAGACATTCGGCCTGTTGTACCTGTGGAAGTTCTTTCATAGTTATAGAGTCATAGAGCTGTACACCATGGAAATGGGCCTTGAGTTAGTATGTTTTAGCCTCTGGCATGTACAAGTCAATAACACTGCGGACTCGGCTGATATATTTAAAATTTCTTTGGTGTAACTCAGCACCATTTTTAAAAAAAATCTGTTTCTTGTTTCCTGTTTCCTAGTTCTAATAATGAAAAGTTCCAACTACTTGTCTCCTTTCAGCAATGTTTAATTTTCCTACTGTACTACTTTTGGGTGAGACATTATCTCAATTGTTTTAAGTTGGAGAAGATGTAGAAGAGACCTCCTAGAATGATGGCATGGATAGTGACTTCTGTTGTATGGAGACACTAGAGAAACTGTGGTTGTTCTCGTGAGAGCCAGAAAGGTTGAGTAGACTCAATTTGTGGTGCATAGAGTAAACAAAGTGGAACTGTTTCCAGTTGCAGAAAGGTCAACGAGTAGAAGACACACACTTAAGGTGGATACAGAAGAACAAGGGGTGACAGTAGAGGTTTGTTTTAAACAGTGAATTATTGTAGTATAAGAATGCAGTGCATGAAATGGGGAATTAAAAATTGTTTCAAAAGAGAATTGGACAAAAACATTTATAGGGTTGTGGTAAATGTTGGGAGTGAAATTAATTTGCTAACCTTGGAAGTAGAGTTGCAAGTGACAGGGTAGCGATGAAGATGTTTGGTATCCTTGCCTTTAATAGTCAGTGCTTTGAGCATAGGAGTTGGGAGGTCATGTTGCAGTTGTACAGGACATTGTTTAAGCCATTTTTGGAATACTGTGTCCAATTCTGGGGGGTTCTCCTTCCTCTAGGAAGGATGTTATGAAACTTGTAAATCTTTCCTGAACCCTTTTCAAGGATGTTGTCAGGGCTGGAGGTTATGACCTGTAGGGAGGCCCTGAATAGGCTGGAGCTATTTTCCCTGGAGCATTCGTGGCTGAGGAGTGACCTAATAGAGATTTATGAAATCATGAGGGGCATGGATAGGGTGGATAGCCAAGGTTGTTCCCTCAGGGTAGGGGAGCCTGAAACTAAAGGGTATAGGTTTAAGGTGAGAGAGGAAAGATTTAAAGAGGACCTGAGGGGCAACTTTTTCAAGCTCGATGGTGCATGTATGGAATGAGCTCCCAGAAGATGTGGTGGAGACTGGTACAATTGCAACATTTAAAAGGCACCTAGTCGGGTATATGAATAGGAAGGGTTTAGAGGAATATGGGCCAAATGATAGCAAATGGGACCAGGCTAATTCAGGATATCTGGTCGGCATGGGCAAGTTGAATCGAAGGATCTGTTTCCACGCTGTACAGCCGAGTCTATGACTCTATAACTCTATGAAAGAACTTCCACAAGTATAGCAGGCTGAATGTCTTTTCGTGCTCATCACTACATGATTCTACAAAGAATGTTCTTGAAAACCTAAGCAATTAAAATTATTTGATTTGCATATTTTAAAAACTTTCATAGTAAGGAATATACCCTTGAGCACTTCTAATCTGTAATAGAACAAGTCAAAATTCTGTTGGTCTGCTATGACTACAAATATTACAAAACTTTTTTTGTTTAAAGCATAAATAGTGGAAGTATTCAATAATGTTGCTGAAGCATCAGTTTGTTACTGTACAAACTGGAAGTATATATAGAGGAGCTCCATTCTGCTTTGTTTCTTATCAGAATTGTATGAATTGAAAGTTTTCTTTCCTTGGGAAAGAAATGAAATTTGAATAAAATTTATTAAGATTATTGCTATGCACCTTTGCCCCTTTTTAGAAAGGAGAAGCGATTTTGGATTTTAAAATCTATGTTAAACTGAGCTGGCTGTTGCCCGTTGGAGAATACTATAAAAATTGAAAATTTCTAAGATGTGGGCTTTTGAGCTAACTAATAGAAATGTATTCTCTCTGAGGATAAAGCCTCTGGTATGGATGGATTGCATGCAAATATTTTAAGGCAGTCTTAAGTAAAAGATAACAAAGGTGTTACTGGACGTTTTAATAATTCGATAGAAGTAGTAATGAAGCTGGCTGGTCGTGAATGTAATCTCCCATATTTTAGAGAGAAAATAAACTGTTTAAGGAATTGTCTACCAGTCAACTTAACGTTTGTGTTGTGATAAATAATGGAACCAGAGTAAAAGAAGGAATGGCAAATATATAGAGAAAAATAAACTGATAGTGAATAGCCAGAATTTATTTTGAAAGGGAAAATCTTGCCTGATCAACCTTGTTAAAACTGTTAATGTAATAATGTAGATAATGGTAACACAGTCTAGGCAGGTTATCTTCTTTTTCTATTATGGGGCACTGTAATTTATAAGTGAGTATGGTTGCTGAATGTGTAGTTAGGAGGCATTGGCAGAATGAATGGTTAGCTAGCTTCATGACAAAAAGCAGAGCGTGAGAGTTGAGAATTGTTTTGGAGTAGCAGTAAGTAGGTAGTAGTGTTCCTCATGGATCAGTGCTGTGACCGCTGCCATTCAAATTTACCTGAACAATTTTTGGATTCTAGATCCAAATCTGGCAGATGAAACCAAATTTGTAGAGACAGGATGGTCAACACAGAAAAGGTTTACAACAAATTACAGGGCAAAAATAATTATTTGGCAGATGGGTAAGGAATTGTCAAATTAAGCTCAACACAAAGTAGTGCTTTTTGGTAAAAATAAGGAGGCCTCATTACTTAGAGGTGCAAAGCTGGGTGAGGTTGAGGAACAAGGGATGTGAGCGCAAATACTT